AAACTACATTTTAGGATGTTTAGGGTTTGTAATCCAAGTGAGAATATATACATTTTAAGACCTAACCAGGAACGACTGCGAAAAATGCAGCACAAGGTCCTCTGGTAGGAATTAAACCTACGGCCCTGCAATTCCGGTGCAGCGCTCTAACCAACTGAGCTACAGAGGCGAGCTGTTGAGCTGTAACCGTAAGTTCATGTATATATAGGTGATCGGGTGTGCGGGTTGTGATACTCACTTTACCAAATATTTTAGCCGGAGGAAAGCCAAGTATACAAGTTAGTAATTCCAATTTTCCTCTGTGGGCCATGCCAACGACAACATCTTCAATTCCATATTCTGGATAAAGTAAGGGGAAACGTCTAGCTTTAGCCACAGGCGCGGAGATTAAAGCCAAGGGCAAAGCAAAAACATTGTTTCGAAATGTTTGTGATGTTACTCTGATTGAGCATCCATACCGGGCAAGCTGAAAAGTTTACCTGGCCACGGTGGGAATCAAACCCGCAACCTTTGGGATGGGATACTAGTCCAATGCTCTACCAATTGAGCTATATGAGGTCAAGTCGGTTCGAGTTGGTGATATTTCGGATCTGAGTCTAGTTCCTTCGATATCAATGTATTTCACCATGGACAGGTATATACTTTTCAGCTTGCCCGGTGTGGATGCACACTCAGAGTAACATCACAAACATCATATTCACCTGAGTACATAACACCAACACACACAAAAAATATTGTTTCGAAAGTTTACTATATGTGAATTAGTAACAATTACCAACGCTAAAGAGTAAAGATTAATTACCAGCAGACGCCTGTGAAAACAGTTCTTCCACAAATGGCAGAGCACTTTCAGCGCCAGCTCCACAATAACGTTTAAACGTCGGAAATTTCTTTGCCAAGAAGTCATCGAACGTCTAAGAAAGAACGTCTTAGGTTATAGCTATTGTGGAGTTGCATTCCAGCAAGTGATTGATAGTCGTTCTTAAATTTTGTATGGGTTGAATGTGTAAACTAATGACTAATGTTGAAAATATCCGAAAAGCCGTCTGGAACGCATTCAAATCGTGTTCCACTTACGTTCCAGTCTATAACCGGGACGCATTCAGAAAGAATGTTGTGCAACTACTAGTAGTGCGATAATTCGCGTATTTACGTACCGTAGGCACGCCAACTATTACAGGGTCTAGTACTTCTTTGTTTTCCAAGCCCCCGGTATTCGATCAATACCGTAACTTAGCTAGTATATCTGTAAGTTTGACACGCCTTGGCATATGAAACATAATTATTACTATAGGCAATTCCTGCAGCGATAGACTAAATTTTGATTTAGGTAAGAAGAACAAAATCCATCACCACAGCTAGAAAGAGCATGTTAAGATTAGTAAAATTGCAAAGTTTGGCCGCGAAATGTTGTAAAATGCGGAAAATATAGCCCAGCGAAATTTGCAAATTTTGTATTAATTTGAATTAATTTGTATTACGCGCGAGAAAATACACCACATTTGGGCCGAAAGTGGTGCAAATTCCCGTGCGTAATACAAACTAATACAAAATTTGCAAATTTCGCAGGGCTATATTTTCCGCATTTTACAACATTTCGCAGCCAAACTTTGCAATCGCAAATTACTAATTTTAACATGCACTTTCCGGCTAGCTGTGCAGGTGATGGATTTTTTTCTTCTTGCCTAGATCAAAATTTAGTCTATAGCAGGAATCATCCATTGTGCTTCTCAGGGACGCCGGAACGATAATAGGGCAAAGGGGGGCGGACGCACACCAAGGGCACCTTTACTGAAAAATTTTTTTTCACTGCAAAATTTTTTGGCGACCTTCCCCCCCGTCGCCAAAAAAATTTCGGTCAGTGTACCATTTTAGGGGTCAAAAATTTTTCCGGACATACAAAAATTTTCCGTGAAGCCAAAAATTTTTCCGGATATGTTAAATTTTCGCCATTTCTTCAAAATATTTTTCTAAATTCAAAAAATTTCCCAAAATTTTTATAAATATAAACTATAAATTACCTGAATCTCGTGATTTTCCTACAAAAAGCATCGTTGGAAATGTGATTTATCACGTATTATTTTACAACTAAAAGGGCACTTCTGCCCCCCCTGCCCCCCCAGTTCCGGCGTCCCTGGTGCTTCTTGACTGTTCTAACTCGTAGTGTGAATATAGTTTTGAAAAAACCTGTTTTTTTATGCACTTTATTTTAAAGACTAAGTAGAAATTGACGAGTATTGAATAGTATCAAATAAATAACCTTTGCTTTCATAAGTAATGTTGCAAAGTGTTTCTTTTCTTCTGCACTGAACGAAAATTGAGTGCTCTCTTCGACTTTTCTCGCAATCCACAATTTCTCTTGCTCATTCTGAAATAAAAATTAGTAAGTTTAGAAATAAATTTTTTTGACACATATTCCACATGTGATTCACATGCATTTAACATTAATTTCACCCATGTTTCACATGTATTTTATATGTTTTTCACATATATTTCACAATCATGTATTTCAAATGTATCCAGGGCCGGAAATACACCCCCAAAGAAAAGTAAAAAACAGGGCCCAACTTGCCCAAAGGAGACCCCGGAATGCTGGAATTGCAGAACGTGTTAAATGTTAAGGAATTTTCTGAAAAATTGAGGTCGAAAAAGGTCTGAAAAAGTATTTTTAAGCCCTCATTATCTGAAACTAGGGTTTGGAAAATTTTTTGGGAAGCTGTGTTTTCGGAAATTTCACCCCCATTTTCCGGAAAAGTTTGCTTTCCAGAAAAAATTCTTTTGAGGGGACCCCAAAGGAAGAAGGCACAAATTTTTGAATTCACCCCCCCCCCCCCCAACCAGATACCGCTCGGGACAACCCTGAATGTATCTTACACATATGTCACAGATGTTTTTCAGGTAACTTTACATGCATTTCACATGCATGCACACATATTGCAGACATGTTTTTCACATAAATTTCACACATGTCTCATAAGATTTGTATCACATCATGGGGTGTGCCAAATTGATCTGTCTTTGTCAATTCCAGTCATTCAAACTTACAGATATATGATTCAGTTCAACAGAGAGATGACCGCAGTAGGTTTTTTCAAGACATTCAATAATTTCTGACAGACTCGCTGTTTCTTGACTAGACACATTAAGAACTCCTGGAATTAATTCACATGCAATATATAAATAAATATATAAATACTGAAATTCAATATATAAATACTGATACTAATAACATTGCATGTATAAATACTTATACTAATAATGTGAATAAATTGAACACATCCAATGCCTAAGATCTACAACATGATATGAAATCACTTATTTACTATATATAACCTGATAAATTAATTTGTTCCATATTTTCAGCAATATTGTGCAAAGATATATCATTGTCAAGTTCTTCTGAAAATCTAAAATAGAATGGAGAAGTATAGTCTCATCTGATAGCGATGGTGCCAATTTTTCAAGGCGTGCATCCTTCAATCACCACGCCTATCTGACCTTGCATTTCATAAAAAAATATGGTAATAGCTTTTGCTACTTCAGTTTTTCTAAGCAGAGAAATTAAAGGAGTGATGGTTCATAAAACTATGACAAGACAAAGAGCCTCAAAATGTAATGTCTGTACTTAGCCTATAGGGGTTGGTTGTATAAAAAAGTGATTAATTTAATTTAAAGTTAACTATAGTTAGTGGAAATATGTCATCCAATAAGAAACGCGTATTTTAGAGTTAATCACTATTTAACTACAAAATAGATGAATTCCAGCCATTTTTCTTAATTGTCGGGCTTCCAACTGAAAACTAATTTCCACACGTCACAAAATTTTATAACTCAAACAACTTCATTTTTACTGCACTGAAACTTTTGTGAAAAGATTGAGTTTCAAAACTCAATTCAAGATTGAGTTTTTGGGGCCGTTTAACAGCCCTAAAAAATTCCTGAAAAAAACCCTGGATATGTAATCTTCTTAAGAATTGATATTTAATATTTAAAAATTACTGTGGAAGTTGCTTTAGTGGGTCTATGAATGCTTTCTTGTGACCATAGTCTCGGTACTTGGAAACCAGTTGAACAACATTATACTTGTCTGAAGAACTTTCTTTATCAACTTCTGGGGTCACATCTATAAAAATTTACTATCACTTAAAATTTTGCATCTAATGACAAAAGTAAAAAAATAATACTTAAGAGGTTTGAATTACCTAATCAATCAGTATTAACCCATCGAGTCTCTCCTTGACAAATAAGTTGTGTCCCAATGCACCCTACTTTATTATTTTACTTTGTCTAATGCCAGACGATTTTACTTGTCAAGGGCCCTGCTGCTCATGCAATGGGTTAAAGACCTGTAAAGTCCGTAATGTAAACAAACGCTTTGTTTACATTTTGAACTCAGTGCTACAGTTGTAAAATATGATTAGATATATATCATACTGAATTTTTAACACTCTTCTGGTTCGCTATGCTTGTAAATAAATACAGACTAGAGATTCAATTCAAGAAAGTTCAAAAGATACGAAATATTAATAACATTCCAACTGTCGGGTCCCGACCATTGGAATGTAAGCCTGCGCGCAGAACAGACTTTACATGGTCTTTAATGTTTAGAAATTATAGAATAGCTTTAGATTGTTAGGGATACAACTACCTGAAAAATAGGAAGAGAACTTCAATGTTTCGAGCAAAGGCTCTCTGTCAGGAAGTTGATGTTCTCCTTGTATTTTTCTGGTAGCTGTATCCCTACCAATCCGAAGCTATATCTTATTATTGGCACTGCATGCACACTGCATGGCACAGCTCCCAGTGTGGAAAGTTTGTATCGCAGAACCAAGATATCGGGCACGCTATTTTCAGAGGTGCCGGAATTGGGGGGGGCAGATATTCATATATTGGTGTTCTGCCCAATTAATTTCTTTTGAAATCGATTGTTTTTACAGTCTGTGAACACAAATATATGAATATCTGCCCCCCCAATTATATTCCGGCACCTCTGGCTATTTTGATTGTTTCTATATATTTACTATTAAATTTTCGAAATCTCAGTTGCACAGTTTTCAAACTTTCCAGTCAGACTTTCCAGTCAGGCACATGCAGTTCACTATTCAAAAATATTAAGAATAGCTCGAAACTTCTGAAAGCACAGTTCTTTACTATAATCTCTTTATTAAAATATGTACACTAGATAATGCTATAACTACATAAAGAAATTTAGTATTCTTCTTGCCTTATAGTTAATATTGAAAATTTAAATAATATACAATTTCACAAAACACACGTTGACACGTGTGTTTCAATTTATGTATACTTCTAATACTACAACAGCCCTACCATCTGTTAACACTGTTGCATCTTTGTAACCAAATCGATTTGTTTTTGCTTTATAACCACGATAAAATACACCCCTAGAAACTGCTTTCCTACAATATTTTAAATTCAACATCTTTTACAGTATTTTGAAATTCTGTGCAATTTGAATGATTTATATGATTTATTTATTAATACATTTATGTACTGTGCTCCCCCCGTAATTTAATAGGAAAATAATGTATTGAAAGTGTTCAATTCCTTTTCAATACCATACAATTTCCTAAGTTTTCCTTACTGTATTTTCCAAGTCAATAAGCGAAACCTGAATTTTGTTTTAATCCTTTCCGTTAAATTTTGTTTATTGATATTTAAATATTGGTTGTTTGCATATAAATTCGTTCAAAAAATTGATATAAAACCATTAAAAGGCTAAAAGCTTTTACTGTAATCTTTCAAAAAATCTTCAAATTCCTTGTAAGAAATTATCGTAAAAATTACTGTGACGGGGGGGAGGCGTACTTTTGCAGTGGTCTTTAATCTTTGTTCAAATTCTTGTCCGATCAAGAATAAACAATTATGGAGGATCAAGATGGCAGTGAATCAGGCGAAGGCCAAAACCAACAAGAATCTACTCAACCGAGGTCCGAATCTACTTCCCTTAATTCGAGACTTCAATGGAAATGTTTGGATTTCGGCTGGATTGTATTTACTTGGCCCGGCCGTTTTAAAGCCGCAGAATTCCTGACCACTTTTTTGGGTTTTGTGCTTATCGCATCGGTGAACACATTCGACGAAGAGCCACGATACGAATTCTATGTTTTTGTGGGCATTTTTAGCTGGGTTATGGTCTGCGTACATATGATTTTAGGAATTCCACATCTCATTGAACGACTTCCCTTGGTTGTGACACAACCATTGGTATTCTTGGCTTGTTGTTCTTTGGCTGTTTTGACTTGGTTAATTGCAGCAAGTGTTGTCGTGGCTAAAGATAAAAACGACTCAACAGTTCAGGCTGGGGCAGCTTTTGGGTACATGACAATGTTTCTGTTCTTTTTTGAAGCTCTCTATTATTTCATACTCTGGCGGCGTGGTGGCTCGGTGAGGCGAGAAGACCAAACCAAAGAAATGGATGATCCGGCTGCAGGGAATGACTATGTGCCCGAAGATCCTGGATATTAGTTGAACTTACTGTCTTATAATAATGGTAGTTAAGCTTATTCGTATTAATTTAGGATATAATTTTTTGACATATTTCCTCAGATTATTTGAATAAATTACCCTTTGTAATATTGTATGCGAGTTCATGTTTATTACAGCAATTTGAAACATGGAAAAATGTGTTGAAATTAAAATTAGGTATTAGCTGATTTTAACATAAACAATAGTTTCAAACAATAATTTTGATAAACCAGATTAGATGTATGATATGTAAATTAATGCTAACTTGCTTGCAAGCTACCTTAATTGTGCAAAATTTATAATAAACAATAGTAACATATATTAATTAAAGGCATGTTACACACGGCAATTACACTGCAACTTGCAATGTACTTCTGAAACAAGGTCATATTGTGTAAAAGATATTCACAGTAAAATTAAGAACTTGGCATGCATGTTAATTCACCAACCTTTTCCTCACCTGTAGTGCATATAAATGAATGAATGAAAAATGAAATGCTGTCCATGCTCACTGATTTTCTGTTAATATTTTAAATTAACATTGCATTGCAAGTTGCAGCAAAAATGTGGAACATGGCCTATATATTATACCTACTTATTTATGATCAAAGAACTTCCATATTTATAGCATTTGTTTAGTTGTATTCACACTTGGATTTGATTTGTGGAACATATTAAACTGACTGTGATTCAAAAGTGATTAGCTAGTAAATATAGTTTTGTAGTGTTGTAAAATTATTATTTCATAATATTGCTTCAAATTTGGGCAGATCAGCGATTTGTATACCCCTTTCCCCCCATCTGCCTCGTACGCAGATGCTTTAAATCATTATAATACACAAAGTATTCAGGCAGGCAGGCGACACGCGAACGGGCTGTTGGGAAAGGGGCCATCAACCCCTTTGCTCACCACTACAATACTTCATGTAAACTCGCCATATGCGTATCGCTGTTTTTTTTACAGAGATGCCTGGGTATGAGGCAGCCCCCCCCCCCCCACTACCTTGTTATCTTACTCCATCTAATGCCAGATGATTTATTTGTGAAGGGAAAAGTGTTCTTTGGCATCAATAGTAATCAAGTAATACACCCTTCTTCCGGAAAGTGTGTTACTTTGGCCATAAGCATAGTAGCAATTAAAATTGTTTTACAAAGTTTTTGAAAGAGTAAATAGACCCATTGCACATGACGTCATAGCGCCAGTGCTGATGCAAATCTGGGTTAGCACTTTTCCATCCAGCAAACCGCCCTATCGATTTTCTAAAGTCGATTTTTTTATTAATTGGGTTAGGGTTAGAGTTGCGGTTGGGTAGGGTTTGGGTTAGTTACATAGCCATTTAACACCTCTTCTATCTTCCGAAAATGACGTCAGGTCAGTTTGCTGGATGGAAAATAATGCTAACCATGCATATGGAGGACAAATTAGCAATCTATGCATATAAATTAATATAACTTTTGTAAAACAAAGCAATTTTTGTAAAACTTTATAATAATTTTGTATTTAAATTGTTAATTTTTGCGCTGTATGTGGTTGTTGTACCCAAACAGATATTGTTAGGAAGCATCTGACACACTGGAGACTCTAAGGATTTGTGACGTCAGTGCAGTGGCACAGAATAGATATAGGGCAGTGGGTCTATCGAGTATTGACTGCGCTTTCTTAGCTTCGCGCGCATACACCCTTTAATTACACCCCCTTTCCGCCCACACGATGAATGCGTCAAGCAACTCAATGGCATTAATCAGCAAAAAAATTGCTTACAATGAAAGAAATGGAGTACATGGAAAGTTGAAATACTGGATTATTTTCAAACGCGATCTCCCGTGTAAACAGGCGCAGGGAAACTCAAAATTGATGAGGGGGAGGGTATTTTCGTGACTCGTGATTAGCAACTATTAGGGACCGGTCATTATTTATGGCGGGGGGGTGGCACCGAAGAGAAAAGGGTTGGGTAAACAAAATTTTGAGTGAGTAAAAGGTTGGGTAAATGAAAAACGAAACAACTCAAAGGTTGGGTAATAGAAATTTATTGTCATTTCCAAAGCATGACTCACTCAAATATTGAAGACTGAAAACTTCAATGTCAACAGTCATCTGTCAATACAATATGTGAATCAATCAGAGTCACTATCTTCATCATTTTCCGATTTATTGAGAGACAAATGGTGTCTCCAAAGAAAGTAAATGTGCAGACAACATGAAACTTTAGACTGCAGAAAAGTCAGTAAATTTCACAAGCCGAACGTTATTAAACTCGTATCACAGAAGTGGTAAAGGACATGTGTGACAACTGAATGACATCCTTTTGTAATGTTTTTGGCCAGGGGTGGGTATTTATTTTTTAAATGATACTTGAGGTTGGGTAATCAAGTTTTTGATTTTTTAATGGTTGGGTCAGCAAAATTTTTGCCACGAAAAACATTTCTCTTCGGTGCCACCCCCCGCCATAAATAATGACCGGTCCCTTAGTGCTTCGTGATTTGAAGAAATACCATTCCGTGAATCGTGATTAATATGCGTGCCGTGAATCGTGAAGAGCTAAAAGGGCTAGCTACGGTCTTGAATTTACCAATATTTTACCCTAACTTGTGAATGTTTACGTTTAAAACTCGGCCCAGATTTAATATTAAGGTTTAATTAATAAAAAAATGAATAAATTTGCTTTCCGCGGTTATCTTCAGTAACTTTCTTGAGGTTTCTTCGCAACCTCGTTCCTGGGAACGAGGTTGGTTTCTTCGTTTCATCGTAAACGTCGTTGTCGTATGCCTTCGTACCTCTTCGTAGACTTCGTGAACGATCGTAAGACGCTCGTAATGTTTCGTAATGCCTCGCAATGATTCAGTAACTGATGTGTTTGTGCTACAGTGAAAAATGAAAATACAAAAAGTGTCCCACTTCCGCTTCTGTAATTTGTTGTGATTTACTGTACTGTAATTTGTTCTGTTTTTCTGTAGCGATTACAAATTTATCGGCAAATACTGCGATAAAATTTAAATTTCGTACCTTTTATGCAATGAAACTAACGAAAAATGGATTATTTCCCTTTGCTACAAATTATCATATTTAAAAAGTAGAGAAAACTAAGTTTTATCACGGTATTTGCCGATAAATCGGTAATCGCTACAAAAAAACAGAACAAATTACAGTAAATCACAACAAACTACAGAAGCGGAAGTGGGACACTTTTTGTATTTTCACTGTAACATCGATTTCTGCTGTCTAGAAAATCGTTAAATGGTTTCAGACTTTGTTACGCTTCTCAGGTGTTTCTAAAACTCGTGAAAATGAAATTTTGCTTTTCGTGACTTGTTGAAGCCATGACTTTAGAACACCGTATTTGTAATGAAATCACTCTTTATTTTCACGTTTATTACAAATGTAGTTTTGTACAGTAAGTTGCTTT